GTGGTAATGGTGAGCAGAGGTTATTGCATCCGTTTTAGAAATGATGTATGCTCGCGTTTTCCCCCACCCCTCTTGAAATAAAAAAATTATCTCTTCTTCTTTTCTTTAATTTCTAATACAGTGCACGTATACACAAGACTCTTCCAAGAGAATGCTATGTATATACTGTATTGGAATTTTAATATATGATGAGGCCTCACAAATTATATTTAATACAATAATTTATATTGTCACCATATCAACTGAAAAAAACAACATACCTGATATGATATTCATTATCATTACAGAACATGGTACACGTGCGGGGATGACAATGTTTTGTAAAATACCATGTTAACAGTGCTGGGTGTTACCCTATGACAGGGCTATTACCTGCTATTATAACGCTGTCCACCCCCCCCCCCCCCCCCCCCCGCTTTTAAAGTAGGTCATCACCCCTGTCGGGCATCATTATGATGGATTATCAGAACTGTGGGCTACATTATTGTGACATTAAATTACTAATTTCGACCATGCTGCCTGCATGCGATCATCTGTTTCCGAGTCTCATTTTGCCTCAGATTAATTCTCATTTAAGCATACCGGAAACATGCATAACGGGACGTCGCCACGCTCTCTCACGACTGAATGGGAACGTCATAAAAGGAGAATGAAGAGACTGAAAACTATGTTCTCGAACATTTCGGATCGCATCTTCTTCCATTGCCAATTTTGGGCTTTTGTTTGCCTTCCATCCATCTTACATGAATCGAATGTGCTCGGTTATAACCCGGCAGACGAATGACATTTAACACACTCACGACTCTCTAAGCCTGTGATAAACATTTAACTGTAAACAGGGGCGTATGCGGGGGTTTCAAAGCGTCTTTTAGGGGATAATATTGAGTGCCAAAGTGCTTAAGATTATATGTATTCCTGTCGGCTTCCTTCACATTAATACAGTGCGTATTACTATTCCAATCTCTCTTAATATTATTATAACGGTAACATGCTCAATATCAATTTCATTACTTGTATGTCATTCTTGCACATTGTTCTCCCCATAAAGTCTTTTACTCATTTGTTCACGATGGCATTTTGCTTGTATTTTTGTTAATGCCATCCTATCCTTGCACTTGTTTATATTATACTATTATAGGCCGTTTACTCACTTGTACACCTATTTTATTTTATTATTTTAGAAAATGAATGAACGTATGAGCTCATGGTCATGGTCATCACGAACAGCTTCGTCAACGATTATGGTGCATTTTGTTTGCCAGACAACAAGAACACACTGCTCAGAATAAGGAAACACCGCTGCGAATTCTTTTGGTTGTCCAGCTATGATGACCTCCAAAGGTCGTGAGATTACAGATAATGGGAGCATCGATACAATTATTGATGCATATTAATGATGAAATCGGAAAGTACCAGGGTCAGTGTCCCACCAAAAGTCAATATCAATTTCTATTGACGGATGGTCTTTTGCTAATCATGTTAAAGACGTAATTTAATTATTTAGGATTTCTACGCATGTATGGATAGGAGTGATAAACGGTACATTTTGAGGAAATTGCCAAGATAATCTTGTATCATAGGAATGCATACATCCTAAAATCCACATTAACATGATTGTCAAATCTTCTGAGAAATCAAATTAAGAACATTTCAAAATTATATCATATATTGTATTTCTTATAGAAATCATTTTCTGAATACAAAATACGTCATTTTCATGTTCGCACAGTTTAGTGGATGACGTACAAAGCTATCGAATAGCATGAGGTTGGTAGTTGTTTTAAAAAACAACTATTAATACAATTTGCAATGTACGATGGTAAGTGGATATCTCTGTAATCATAGTGTGACATCATACTTGTCTTGTGTTATTTTTATCTTTAATGCAACAACGATATATCCGAGATGACACACGTTGTGTAGCGCAATAATGACATTACTTTAAGGGGTGACTCAACCTATAATATATTGCCAATCTTCACTGATTACAAAACGAGCTTTGCCTTCAGAGGGATGATACGATTGGAACTCAGTCTCTTAGCTTAATGTTTCTTTGTCAGGGGGAGGGGTACAACATTTTAAAGGTTGCATATCTTTGTGACTTAGACAGTTCAAAAATAAACAATAATAGTGTTAGCCTTAAGGGTACATACTTTTACTGTCAATGTCGATGTAGAATATAAAATAAAATATCACCCTGAGCATTTGGGGACTGAGCAAAACCAGCAGCGAGCCACAGGGTAAAACCATGGACTTAAGTTTGTTGGCGCCACGACGATGGGTGCAACTCTGCATCTTAATTGGTTGCCGATTAACCACATTTCGTATATTTGAATTTTTGTAAAAGTTCTTTTCCTCATTTTTATAAATTATGCAGTGTATTATGTATTTCAATACAGCAATTTAGCCTGGATATGTCTGTTGCGATTAAAATCCCGTGCTTTATTATAATTATAATTCCACTCCCTACCGATGGCAGTCGACGGTAAGGAGTAAACGCCTAAAGAAGGGCTGAAGTGCGTAATTTTTCATGAATCGAAAGTTATCAACACCCCTTCAACAAAATATATCAGGAACAATGCCTAAATTTAAAAATACAATTCGAAACTCATCTATAGGGTACGAGCTACCATCTTCGGACAATAAAGATCCATGACATCTGGATATCACCGTTCGATGAGGAACGCAAACACGAGCCTTTATTAGGGTAAGTAGCATACATACTGGATTGTTTTACTTTAGGATTACACCATGTAGACAGTTTGCTCTAAATCTCGAGACAAACACGTTCAGGGCACTTGTCAGTTTTCTACATGCCGTATCGTGGGAAGATACAGACATTTGTTTTCGATTTTTTTTTTTCTTCTTCTTGATCTTTATAATAATTTCTCGTTGAATGTAAAACTGTGTTCTGCATTATAATGGTGTAGTGAAAATGATGTATGCCATGTATTTATGATCAGTGATTACTCTGTGTAAAACAAAATGTGTAGGTTGATTGCATCAATACGATATCACCTATCAAACATTGTCACTCTTTTTATATTTTCTAGAGGTTGTTGTTGTATTCAGCATTATTCGGTCATCGGTCAAATTTGCCTATTGTCACCAACTGTTGTTGAAATACTTAAATGAATTTGGAAACAACACACTTATGAGTAGTTTTTCCCAGATCTCAACTGGGTTTGTGTTTCTTCTTTGTAACTACAATCACATTTTTATATATTCTAACAAAAACGTAACTTTGAGTATTTTACTGACCAACGTCCCCGGTTGGTCGTGATTGTGACAGGGGTACTCAATATTATGTTTTAATACAAGAGGTCTGTCTGGTCATTTCATGATTAGTAACAATTACTGCCTTTCAATCAAGATCGATAGGGCATTATGGCAAAAACTAACATCGGACGTTAAGAGTTTTCTGCAACGTGTGCTAGTGAAATTATCCCATTAGCTTCATGAGTAATACAGTTCATGTTCATAATAGTTTTTTTTATGGTATGGTTTTGAAAAATGTGGTAAAATGAATATATGAAAGTCTGTTTCTTACTCTATTTTGAAACGAGAATATTATATTCATATTACGATGGGTTACTTCTTGTTCCAAAGGGAAGCTTACACCCCCTCCCCTTCACAAAGAGCTATTTTAAAACGGTGTATGCTATACCACAATGGTGCATTTTTTGTTAGGGGTGGTGGAGCCCTAGAGCCCCACCTCCCTTACCAGGGCCTAGGCATAATGACAAATATTTGTGGATGCAATGGCATCATCTTGTCTGTCGATGCCTAGGTCTTAAAGGGTGTAATCAAACGAACAACTGGAGACTAGGAGTGTTAAGGAATATCATTTAAGTTAATTATCGGGGGTCAATTATAGGTTTCCAAACCATGTGTGAATAGATAAAGTTTGAAATATCTAATCAGAGCTGACCAGCAGCATTTTATCTGTTCAGAGTCGGATGGACATTAACTTAATATTGAATGATGAAAATGATTTGACATTATTCTGGCTCTGAGCAGACGATTTGAAAACCATAGAGAACAAAACAACGACATGTAGTAAGAAAACAAAAATAAAAACTCTGAAGGCCATATATTTTATGCTCTAATAGTTTAGTAGTCAAATTAATTTGGAAAAACAAAAAAACAAAAACAAAAAAACCGGAAGATAATTTGTCACCTGTTCTATTACAAAATACCTTCCTCATATTGTAAAGTTTGTGAATCATTGTAGTTTTCAGCAGTTTATCTAGTATATTATGCCAAGAGGTATAGATTTCCTCGTTATATCAATAACCAGAATGACATGATCAATCTTCGGCCAACAAAAATGAACGAGTTGATAACATTTATTGGCCGAGCTACATTCATCAAAGACTTCATGATATTCTGTATAATGTTTAGGTAAACGATTTATATAAAGTAGTAGGTATTATTACTACATATATTAATGCATATTTTATCCCAGTTTATTACATTGCTGTAAAGTATTAGAATTCACGCATACTATAAAAACTTACACACACACACTCTCTCTCTCTCTCTCTCTTCTTCTTCTTTGGGTTAAGTCTACCTCCTTCACAGTTGAAGATTCTTGCAGACTGATGAGTGTGTGTGTGCTTACGAGAGCAAGGTGCATGGTGCAATGCTATTTACATGGTGCAAGTAAAAAGTTCCCGGACTTAGTTGCTGCCTCCCGTCAGGCATTGACGGAAGGCATTGACGGATGAGGCACATACTGTTTCTGATGGCAGATTGTTCCAACTCCTCACAGTCCTGGGAAAGAAGGACAATAGACATGTATATATTCGCCAGTGAACACGGTATACATTTTAATCACCATCAACCGATCTCACTCTTCTCTCCTCGGTAAACCGAGTACATCTTGTAAGGGATTACACTTGGTTCCTTATAAAGATACATTGTACGTGTACAAACATAGCACTGGCGATTATTTAAATACCGATCCTTAAATGACCCAGATCAGATAATGTACTTACCTGACGGGCTCCCCATTGGTTCTTGAGTAGTATTTCCTTATTTTATTCCTGAAAATGTTTTAACATCGAGAACTTTCCTCGATTTGTAACGGCGACGAATCAACGAAGTGATATCTTACGTACGACTGTATACGTACACACGTATTTCAAAAAGTTGTTTTTAAAAATAGGCCTTACGTCCAGTGCTAATTCGTTGGCCGAATGAAAGAGGTGAATACAATAGATGAGTGGCGTCCCGAGATACGTAGTAACGTACACATGGTCTGCAAAAGTTATGGGACTCACCCTCGAACCAGGAATCCTAGACTTCTCCACCAGTCGTTTACGAGTTGGACAGAATGTCTTCTGAAAAGTATGTTGTTACTTTTGATTGATTAAGACCAGCTGTGTGAGTGATGCTTGCATATGCTTAATTAACACCTGTTACCAATTGTTAAGATCGAGCTGTTTTGCCGATTTATCTTTTTGTCATAAAAGTGTTGCGCCTACATTATAGGCCTAAATATAAAAAAAAGAGTTAAACTTCCCTCCTAGGCATAAATACAACAGTATACGTAAAAAGATTATACTATAAACCATCGAAAACCATGTCTATTAAAATGACTGAAACATTTATAACAACACTCCTATATATTGGCACGAGAAAGCATTTATGTTATTTTAGCCCACGAATCCAACGGGGAAGAGACTAGAAAGAGACTATAGCCAAATAGCCTGTAAGGCGATTACCGAACCATTAGTTCACGAAAACTGTGATCTCCCTCTGAGCAATGACTCCTCATCCAAAGTAGATATTCAAATCAATATGGATTAGTCGCCCGTTTTTCTTTTTCGGTGGAGTAGGTAAGATAATCTTAAAAGAAAGAAAGGAAAAGTGGGCTTTGAAAGCCGGCGGGGTTCTATTTCATTACCAGAGTGAATAGTCTAATGGGGAAAGTATCGGTAAGATGTAAAAGTAATGACCCCAAAATGGACAGGTATAGATCATTGAGGTTTGCCCATCCGTACACCTCGAGGAGTTACCTTGGACGATTTACCTTGGCTTGTGGGTGAGGCTAGTTATACAATGTTTATTGAAAGATCCAATCGAATTGTTTTGATCGTACCATACTTTCTAACCACGTGACGATTTTTTTTTTTTGCATGACGTAACGTTTTCTGGTGTTTTTTTGAGATGTAATTTAGATGTAATTAAGATGTAATTTACCCCATGCTAAGGGGGTGTCTGAATGAGCGATTAATCCATTCTTATAAATCTCACGCATGATAGATCTCCTTTTCAAATTGAGTCTCATTAATCTCTTGTATACAACCTAAGTCTTCCCTAGGTCGTTACTCTCTCTCTCTTTCCTACTATTCTGATTTCAACAAAATCAATTTTATTATGCTCTATTGCTTTAATGCTTTAATTACATTCTTACGTACACGGTCTCATCTGTTTTCGAACGACATAGCCCCGATCCAAAGGAAAGCAAGGAACAAACTTCTTAAATAAAAACTTCTTAAAATAAACCATCAAAAGCCATCCCCGACGCAAACAGAGTCATTAATCGTCGCTGTTTTCACGAAGTGACGGTAGTGAGGGAAATCGTCACGCAAAGTGAATGCAATTTTTTTTTCACTACCGTCTCTTCGTGAAAACAGCGATTTTTGTTTATAGCGCGCCTGTAGGACTTCAACTCTTCCTTTGAAGAATCTTCTTCAATAGGTGCTTTCTCTTTTCGTTGATGCCCTTTTAAGAAAATAATGCGCATTCTCTCTCCCCGTTGGTCGATTCGCTTTGTAATTCGTTTTCACTGGAGGGGACAATGCGTATCTGAGAGGTCTTACAATCGAATGTTTGGGAACCAATTGAGCTCTATACTAAATAAGATTGGGTGGAGGAGATGAAAAGGAAGAGTGAATAATGGAACACTCAAACACGAGCCTTTCGCTCTGATTTTGGTTGTCGGTTGTATGAATGATCGAAAGTATAGAAAGGAAATTATAATTCGTATCAAAGAGAGGGGGGAGGCGAATATGAAAATATGAAGTTTTAAAGTTAAATTTGAATTTGTCATGGTTCATCTATTTTATAAAAAAACTTTTCAATCATGACAATTAAATTCCGATTCTTTAAATAATTTGTTAATATATTTTTAGTAACAATAACTGACATCAAATAACTGTTAAAACGATTTAGTTGGATGTCATACTCCGAAAAGGGGGTCGAAATAGTTAAGACATATTATAATATACTATGAAACATGATGCTACCATGTGGAGGAAAAAATGATATTAGAACGGGGTAAAATATTATTTCTTACTATGAGTGAAATCATCTACATGTATTTTGTTTCTGAGTAAGCTTAGCTCTGTGAGTTTTATGAGAGCTTTAAACTTGGTAAGTAAGAGTCAGGATAACAATGAATTTATTACTTTGTGTCTCGTCCGCATGTCTCCATTTCAAGAGATGTTCTCAAGACCAAGTACATCATAATCCTTCCTGAGCCATGTCGAGGAATGTGGAACGGTTAATTAAGTCATTGCTTGATGAAGTCATCCGCGACATTCAAGGATCTTCTCTTAATAAACCTGGACTTGGGACGGCACAAAAAAAAATCAGGGTTTGCCTCGTCTCTACACCGTGTAATGATCCTCAATGTCTCACACCAATAAGATTGTCTTGCCGTGCAGAGAAAAGCGTGAAATGCAAATGACATTTGGGCTTAATGAGCAGGAACATTGCGCCAGGTCAATGTGGTGTGAGGGTAATCATCGAAGTACAGGTCTTTAATTGCCGACCTTCAAGTAACACCCTACATAGGATTCCTTCATCAATGTCGAATGGAGAACTCGACTGGTTTAATTTAGAGGGTCGTGTAAAGAAATGTAAGTTTGGCAATGATAATCGACATGATCATGTTCATCGATTAAAGTCCCGAAGCAGTGGCGTACCTTTGGGGAGAGGGGCACAGGCCCTCTTTCACAGGGGTGAAAAAGGGGCAATAAAAAAGAGAAACTGAGAGAGAGAGAGAGAGAGAGAGAGAGAGAGAGAGGCATAGAGAAAGGAAAGAAAGACTAGTGGAGGAGGAACAAATTGATGGGACTTCCTTAAATATCCCTTAATCAATGGCATTGTTTTGCACCTAGTATTGTGACTTCCCCCTATGCCCCTATCCCCCTAATGCCACTACCCCGTTAATGTCTGGGCCCACGCCATGCCAATGAATTTATATGAAAAAGAAATGAACACAACATATTTATGTAAGACAGGGGGGAAAATGACAAGAATGACAGTAGATGATCTATTCAGTATAGTATTTCTCCACTCTACTAGAAATACAATCGTGCAACCGCATTAGAATTTGCTAATAATCTACTTAGAGAACAAAGATGTATTTAGATGTTTTGGGGAGCTAACCTTCACTTCAAATCGGCCTGTAATGCATGCTCGAATTCTCGACGTGAGGGCGAGCGATACAGCATCAGTGCTCACACCACAACAGGCTTGAACCAGTCGGGTATATCATCTCGGGTATGACATGGATGCAAGTTAGTGGGAATGGGTGGATTCAAATTTCTAATAAGCACTCAAACCGCATCATGCATTTTCATATGGAGCGCTTAAATCTTGTTAGACATCCGCGGGCGTTTTAGGAAGGCTTTTAAGTTCACGGTCGTCTGCGTTAAAATGGAAGAAGGATTCATAATAGCATGGAAGGACGAAGGGAATACTGATGTATACAGCTGTTTCATGAACTAGTTGGGAAGCAACGATTGACAGTGAAGATTCTATTTGTAGTTATCGTGTTCAGCTTGTGTATAGCTAACATGAATTTGCACGTGTTTTGTGAAGGCTTTTAAGTGCGACAAGTTCATGGTCGTCTAATAGGAAAGAAGGATTCCCAATAACATGCAATGGTGTACAGCGCCGTAATGGTAATTTAGCATAAAGCGGAGGAAAATTATGTCTATGCTTTTATTCTCAGCTTGCTTTTAGGGAACAGTATACACCCTCACGTGTTTGAGCAGGCTTTAATGGGTTACATTTTAATGGCAACATCGCCTGATTCGAGATGGAATAACAATGATTCAGAACAAAATGAAAGGGCATGCTGAGGTGTACAGCATTAAAAAAACATTTTGGATTGTCGTTAACAATTCTCTATGCTGGCTCTTTTTTAAAAAGATTTTAGCTGATTTATACAAGATTTGCTTAGAGCATTTCGTATTCACTCTCATTTGTCTCATTCTTTAACATTATTCATGAATTCATTTTGATTAATATGATGTTTTATCTGTATATTATATTTCTGGTACATTATTTATTTTGTTTACAAAGTGGCAAAAGACATATAGGCCTAATAAAATATAATTCCATAAAGGAAGCACATTCATAATGAGAATTAGACATATAGATGAATGCAGATTGAGATCTGTATTTCTGTGGAAACAAAATCGTTATTCAATAAAATTTCAGAGTGGTTTTGGTCCATCAATACTAATCCATGTATATTGCATGAACGTCAATAGTTTCTATCGATTAACCAAGCTCAATTAAATCATGCTTACAGATCATATTATTCAAATAAATCGGATAGAGCAAAATAAATGCATATTTTGGAACTTAAAGGGATCTGGTGTCGATTTAGATTCAGATCCTTAGGGTCTATCCCAAGAGGGATGGAATATTTCACGAATGCATTCCCAAATACGGTCACCAAGAACTGGCATTAAAAAAACATTGCTTTTGGCGCTCTCTCGCTCCACATATGCTCATGGTGGACACACTCGAGAATGTTGTATGTGATATTTCAAAGATCCATAAAATGGGGAGGAAAATCTCAGATGTTCCTTCTCCTGAAAAGCGTCAGCCTTTTAATTGTGTATGTATTGCCATCTTGTACAAAGGTACACTTAATTCTGCAGACTATATGTATTTTGGTTGCATCAATTTCTAGCCATTCGCATGGCGGTCAGTAAAAAGATCTGGATTTCCTCCGCCGGACTTTTTTGGCAGGTTATTTCCATCCTTCCAACATTCCACAAGCAATACACTGGTGATTAAATTGCACCCAATAGCGATTTGATGGAAATACCCACGACCACATTATATATGAATACCTGTATATGAAATCCACATACATTTATACCACAGATGGAAGGATATTCGACATATAGGGATAGAATAAATTAGCTTCATATCTTGTGAACACAAATCTCCACACCCACCCTCGTTCACACATAGTACACACAAAACACAG